GATGTTAACTAACCTTTGGGACAGTCGACCTTTGGGGTCCACCGATCACCCTAAGCTGGTGTGGCTGCGGTTTAAATAGGGTGAGCCTCGGGTCAACTTGCTTCAGGGGCCTCCAAGAGGCTGACCACGTAGATCAAGCTCCCTCAAAAAGCCACACAAGGCCGAGCGCGCCGCTGACCCCTTCCCAATCAATCAATCAATCGATAGGAGTTGATTGGGAAGGGGTCAGCGGCGCGCTCGGCCTTGTGTGGCTTTTTGAGGGAGCTTGATCTACGTGGTCAGCCTCTTGGAGGCCCCTGAAGCAAGTTGACCCGAGGCTCACCCTATTTAAACCGCAGCCACACCAGCTTAGGGTGATCGGTGGACCCCAAAGGTCGACTGTCCCAAAGGTTAGTTAACATCTTTCGACTTCCTAGTAGTCCGCGCCCTTTGAACTTTCTTTGTAGGTTGAAATAGTGCTTGATCGGATGGTTTCTCAAGTGCCTTTTGTCTTTCCAGGCTCCGAGGAAGGTGAAGGCACCGAAACGTCAGCCTAATAAAGTTTGTTAATATCTCGGTTGTACAGCTTAAAGAGTCAATTTCAAACTGAAGGAAGAATGCCGAGATTCATCGACAGTCGCACATGGACACTCTAGTGAAGGAGAACTATCGTTATTCTTGCTGTCCCAACAAAAGACAATACGCACCCGCTACGATCTCCACTGGTGAGTTAGGTATTTCCTCAATGTTGGTGGCCATCAGCTTTCGCTTTACTGTTTCTCCACTCTCTTTGCCTCTGTCTGACCATTAAAACTGTCCCACGAAAAATATGCGACTAAATGTCGAATCAGTGTATTGGCAAAGAAGGTAGATTCGAAGACCAATGATGTGAAAGGAGTCCAAAAGCTCTAGGGCCCGTGTTTTTTGTCTGTATTTGATCAGCTAAAAAAATTTGTGCAAGTCGAGGTGTTGCTTCTTTTTTCCCCGAAAGCCTCTTTATCATTTCGAAAAAAGAGCTACATACGCCTAGCTGAATGAAAAAATGGTGTAGTTGACTGTCTCCACTACTGCGTAGTTGTGTAAGACAAAACGGCATCCCGAACCACTTATGACTTCTTATGGACGCTGATTTAACACCTTCAAAACGAGGTTCATCGATGTCAAACCGTTCAATTTTCATTTCCTCTTTATCTGTACATATGGTTGTCTACTGAAATATTCATCGCAATTCAGGCCATCATCACCGACATCATCATATTGGGGAAGGAGTGAGAGTTGGCTCATCTGCGGCAGTGAGTTCCTTTGTAACGGGATTGCTGGCACTGCTTCTGGCACGTTGAAAATCGACGTTCCTTTTTATCACAGAGTTAATCCTTGATTTTCCCCTCATCCGATTACCGATCTATTTTGAACAATAATCTGAGCTGTCCACTCTTTCCCTGTAAACTCCCAAGCAGTTTATAATCATCTATTCCAGTGAATTTCCGATGATATGATATTGAAATGACAGAGCTTTTGCCTTAATGTTCGCAACGAGAATGAAGATCACTGTGTTGTATTACTCCTAGGGTAGCATAGGAAGGCGATTACTTCCTGTAATGTTTCTTGTGTGGTTAACATTGGTTGTTACAGAGTAGTACAGAGTCAAGAATTCTCTAGCAAATAAAGCTAATCCGCGGACATGGCATGTATTTCAGATAAAACAAGGGCGAGTTACTCATACAGAACGAAGGAACTTGTCATAATTTTCGTTCTAATATAACAGCAAATCACCATCACACAATAGATCCAGGGGTATGTGTACGAACGTGCGTCCGAGGGTGCGCGCGGCAAATTGC